GAAGATATATCCACATTATATTAGAGAAATACTTCAAGGCTTAAGAGTTGGGAGAAAAACTGAAAAAAAAAAACATAACCATGTCAAAAGGAAAGATTAATATATGATTCATTAAAATAAATAGAAAATATTAATATATTATTGATCACAGATGTTTGTCACAACATAAGAATACGAGGAAGTAAATTATTACTTTCGGCTGCGTTTGGCTACGTGACTTTAGATTAACTCGATATTTTGAACGAAAATGTATCAAAATAATTGGAATGATTATGGCACGTATAAAATAGTTGACAGTTAGACGATCGGGTTTAAGCAGCCAACAGACCTAACGTGACAATTAACACATACCAATGACATAACAACCATGCATGTGTACACCATACCATTATATGTACTAAATCTCTCATTTCGATATTCAACAGTTTTAAACCACTAAAAATAGTTTGTCAATGTACATTCCGGTAGGAGATTTTTTTGGGTCAGACCATTAATACGGTATGATTTTAAAACACAAATTTCACAAGAAAAAGGTTAAGAACACAATACTTAAGTAATAAGTACTGGGAGATACGTACCAAAATAAAGTCTGGTGACCGAGTTTACCAGCGACCTAAACTTAAGTCACCAATTAGTAATTAACCCTATATTTGAATTTCTTTCCATGAAGAGCGAATCGTTTACCTCCGACTGAACAAGACAACTCACACCCAACTCTGCATTTCACAGTTTCTTTATTCCCCTTCTCCTTCTTCGATTCGAACTCTCCATTTTTATTTTGTGGGCGATTTCAGTGACAGCGCCCACACATCTCACTTACGCTTGCTTTCCCATTGGCCTCTCACCACCTCCTTCCTTTCCAGTCATATTGAAGTATCAACTCTGAGCTTCCGAGTCAACCCAGAACCAGCAAACAAAATTTCCCCTTTTCCCCATCCTCTTCTCCCCTGTCTGGTTTGCGTTGAAAATGAGCAGGAAAATCTAGGTCAACGATTGTACAAGATCAGGAATCGAATTGGGTCTCATGTGAATAAACAAGTAAGTTTGTCTTTCTTCTTCTTCCTCCTTCCTGGTTTTGATCAAATTGGGTACCAATGAGTTGAAGCAGCCATGGAAATTTAGGTAGTTTTTGGAGTGGCTAAGGTGAATGGTTCAACACCCATGTGGGTTCTTTTGTCCGTTTTAGAAGTTGGAATTGATTCCTTGATTGTATGGTAAGGGTGGGTTTTTAACCTTTTCCCCCATTAGTATCTCGTGCAACGGTTCGAAGGGGTAGAGTGTAATGGAAGGCAGTATGGCCTCTAAGGTTTCTGGGGATGGAAACTATCTATGGTTGCAAAATTGTAGATGGTGGATTAGGGTTTTCCTTTTCCACATGTTTCCTGATTCAGATGGGTCTGAGACGGAAGAGGGGGAAAAGAAGGGATTTTTAATTTGTTTTGTTTAATGGGAAACTTGTATCACATGTTTGACTAGCCACTTTTCCTGCTTGAAAGGAGGGGGGATGGCCTCTTAGGTGCCAGCTGCTTTATTTTTTGTGGGCAAGTTGAGTAATTACTTTAGATCCTTACTTTCAGTTCACATGATACCTTGTACACAAGAAGCCATTGATTGGGTGGTGTTTTCCCCTCTTTTGTCTCTTCTTGTGGCTTTCAGCTCATGCCTTGTACATTGTCACTCTCAAAAGTGGTCTTTTGGATTGCTTGGCTCTGAATATACTACAGGTAGTAGTAGTTGATCTTCCAAGTCTGTTTTAACATGCAGAAATCTGCCCCTTGCTGTGTTTTCTGCAACATTTCTGTGATCCATTGAAGTTGCAGCCAGGCTTATGCTCTTGGAAGGAAACAGACACAATATGGCTTATTCAAATTCAAGATCTGTAAGGTTTGTAATTTGTCATGCTCTTTGTCTCTCTTTGTGAGTTCTTGACTGTATATTTTGGCTTGTAACTTGGGGTAATGTTCTGTTATTTTTAACAGGTTTAGAGATGATCTTGAATTGACAAAGCACCAAACAATGAATGTAGATGGGACAGTCAAGCTCAAATTCAACATAAATGGGACTCATATGTCCGAGTCCAGCGCCAAGAGCTCTCAGAGAGATGTAAGGAATGGAAAATCACTGAAGGCCAAAGTTCTGTCTCGAGTTTTCTCGGAGGATTACGAGAGAGTGAAGAGGAACATATTAGATCCTCGAGGGCCAGCAGTTCGAAGATGGTCTAAGATCTTTCTTGTGGCATGCTTACTTTCTTTGTTTGTCGACCCTCTCTTCTTCTACTTGCCAAGAGTCAACAGGACTGCGTCATGCATAGACATTGGGAGACCCCTTGAATTCACCCTCACAGTTCTTAGAACAGTAGCAGATGTATTTTACATGGTCCATATTTTCATAATGTTTCGGACAGCATACGTTGCACCTTCTTCTCGAGTTTTTGGGAGAGGGGAGCTCGTTATTGATCCTGAAAAGATTGCCTCGAGGTACCTTAGATATAACTTCTGGCTTGACCTTATTGCAGCCCTCCCTCTTCCCCAGGTATCATTAATGAACCGCACTAAAAAGCTCTCAGTACCTTTGCTCGAGTGCAGAAGGGCGTGTATGAACTTTTTTACTTTTCATTTTTGCAGGTACTTATTTGGTTAATCATACCAAACCTTGCTGGTTCAACCATGGCTAACACGAAAAACGTCCTCCGGTTCATCATCATTTTCCAGTACATTCCAAGACTTTACCTAATCTTCCCACTCTCTTCCCAAATCGTTAAAGCAACTGGGTTTGTGACAGAAACAGCTTGGGCTGGAGCTGCTTATAACTTGATGCTTTACATGCTAGCAAGCCATGTAAGATCCTAGTGAGCCCCCCAAAAAAACCATAAAACAGACAAACTTGCTTATTACTGAAACTGTTTACAATTCATACTCTTGGAACAGGTTTTAGGAGCTTGCTGGTACCTTCTATCAATAGAAAGGCAAGAATCATGCTGGATAAGTGCATGTGACAAGGAGAAGCCATATTGCAACTTCAAGTTCTTTGATTGCCAGTCGGTTGGCAACTCTGTCAGGGACTTGTGGTTCAAGTCCAGCAACGCTTCGAGCTTGTGCAAGCCGGATAACGAGTTCTACCAGTTCGGGATCTATGGCGATGCATCAACTTTCGGTGTTTCATCCACATCATTCTTTGACAAGTACTTTTATTGCCTCTGGTGGGGCTTAAAGAACCTTAGGTATGTCATGCCCCTCAATACTTTAGTTTAGTTAGTGATTAGTCTTCCTAATAATGCCAAATCTCAAATCTGGTCCTGGCTGCTGCAGCTCGCTGGGGCAGAACCTTTCAACAAGCACTTATGTAGGGGAAATAGCTTTCGCCATCATTATTGCAACTCTTGGTCTGGTGCTCTTTGCTTTGCTCATTGGGAATATGCAGGTAAGGCTTCATTTTTAGAAGTGGAATTCATGAAAAAACGACAACTTTTCTCCAGCTTTGCTCATTTCAGACCATTTCCTTTTCTGGGTTTTTTTCCTTCTCTCACTCCCTTAACCAAAACTCTGTTTGCCTCCTGGTTTGCAGACATACCTGCAATCTACAACAGTTAGGCTAGAAGAGTGGAGGATCAAAAGAACCGATGCAGAGCAATGGATGCACCACAGACAGCTACCTCCTGAGCTCAGGAATTCTGTCAGGAAATATGATCAATACAAATGGCTTGCCACCCGTGGAGTTGATGAAGAAACCCTCCTCAAAGGGCTCCCATTGGACCTCCGTCGAGATATCAAGCGCCACCTCTGCCTCGATCTCGTTCGTCGTGTAAGTCCCCCCCTTCGCTATATGTACTTTCAGCGCGTGCTAACATCGTCGAATTACACGTTCCCAGACGCTCTCAGGCATGACATTTCTTTTTGTAAAATACGCTAACATTCACATTACAGGTTCCGCTGTTTGATCAAATGGACGAGAGAATGCTGGATGCAATCTGCGAGCGGCTTAAACCGGCTTTATCTACAGAAGGCACGGTCCTGGTGCGAGAAGGAGACCTGGTGGACGAAATGCTGTTCATAATTCGCGGCAATTTGGATTCCTACACCACCAACGGTGGCCGGACGGGGTTTTTCAACTCCTGCAAGATCGGTCCCGGCGAATTCTGCGGCGAGGAACTGCTGACGTGGGCGCTGGACCCGCGTCCGAGCGTCCTGCTCCCGTCCTCGACTCGCACGGTCAAGGCCATTTCTGAAGTGGAAGCGTTCGCTCTGCGAGCAGAGGATTTGAAATTCGTGGCGTCACAGTTCAGGAGATTGCACAGCAAGCAGCTGAGGCACAAGTTCAGGTTCTACTCGCATCAATGGCGGACGTGGGCGGCGTGCTTTATCCAGGCGGCGTGGCGCCGGTACAAGAAGAGGAAGGAGTTGGCGGAGCTGAGAGCTAGGGAGGAAGGGAGCTGCGAGGATGATGATGATCGGCGGCGGGACGAGGCGGTGAAGAAGGGTGGTTTCGCGGCGGTGTACACGGCGAAGATGGCGACGAGCACGAGAAAGGGAGTGACGATCATGAAGCATTCTTCTTCTTCTGGGTCGGGTTCCAGCGTCGTTAATGTGAATTCGTTGCAAAAGCCTTCCGAACCTGACTTTTCTGTGGTTGAGGATTAAGAACTAAAGTTTGTTTTTTTAATTCCTTTTTCGGTTGCTGCCGGCGCCGGAGATATGTGTGAGAAATGTGAATGCAATGGGTTTTGTAGAGAGGGGAAAAGGGGGAAAGTAATGTACATTGATCGACTCTGTGATTTGATTCCTATAGCAGAGACGTAGGAGGAAGAAGAAAGAAAATCAATCCTATTGATTTTTAGTTGCCTTTCTAGTTTCTACATATGCTTCAATCGAGTTGCTTGAGTTGATTCTGTACAACTTGTGAGTTAATCGAACTACAACAAATCAAGCTCGATTCGCTGATCAATCAAGTACAAGATAATACGATTTCTTCAACTCGAATTACGAGCAAATCGTGAGTAAGATGGGTTGCTCAGCTCTGTATAAAAACCAGTTCATTGCTAAGTTCACTGTGAACCTCCAGCAAGTAAAATGATGAATACAACAGTATGCTGCAAGCCTGCAACACTGCCTGCATTGTGTTTCAGGCATATTTTTGCTGTCATGTTAGGATCAATAGCGTACAGAACGTACAGCGGTCATGAACGAGGCGATTCTAGATGGATCCTTATTTATCCCATCTGAGCCACAAATGCCACTGCTAACATCTATACCATGAGGCTTCAGGGTGGTCAAAGCATCACAAACGTTTTCAGGGTTGATCCCTCCTGCTAAGAGCCAACCATGCTTGCTCCTGATTGGTGGTAACTTAAACTGAGCCCAGTTGAATCCCTTTCCACTGCAAACAGCATACAACAAGTTGCAAGGTTTTGGCTTTACAATAAGGTGATCGTTTGGTCACATTCATAGACATGTAAAACATTGATGTCCAGTTACCTGCCACCAGTTGCACTGTCAAAGAGAATCCAATCAACCAACGAACTTTCTTCATCCGAGATTTCATTCAGAAGCTCCCCATCCTTGTTTGCATGAAGAACATAGACTATCCGGGTATCTTGTACTAATTGTTGGAGAGCCGCCCTTGAACCAGTCCCATGAAGCTGCAAAAAAACTAATGGATGAATGAAACAAGCTTGCACGCAACATATGAAGTAGGTAAAACCATAAAAGAGGTTCACACACAAACCTGTACAAATTCAAGATCAGCTACTTCTGCAGCTCGCCTTATAGTATCTGCATCATCATCAACGAATACACCGACAGGCTTTGCTCCATTTGCCCTAGCAGCTTTTGAAACTTCTTTGGCGACTGAAAGTGAAATTGAGCGCTTGGAGTTTGGCCATATGATCATCCCAATGAAATCAGCCCCAGCTTCTGCAGCAATGGCAGCATCTCTAGCCGATGTTATCCCACACATTTTCACCAACGGCGAACTCTTATCACCATGCTCCTCGCTGGTGGACGATGCTATCTCTGACAAGCAAGACCTGATCTTCACCGAGTTCAGTAGTCTTCCAAACTTTAGGCCTGCACATGTCCAAAGTCCCACTTTACCAAGTTCTGTGCAAATTGTGGCGGAACAAGAACATATGAAATACTGAAAGCGCAAAAATCTACCACGACCATTTCGCCTTTGCAAGTTGACAAAACTGGGCTGTATGTAACTTGTTGCATTCATCCCCGGCTGGAGGAAATGGTGAATGTGCAGCCTCAATCCACGAACTAACTAGCTAGTAGCTACAAGGCTACATCAAACAAGAGAAAACAGGGAAACAATAAAGCAATTGCAGTATCCTTAAAGCAGGCCAAATACACAGTCACGCTTCTCAGGACACTCCACAGTCAATGTGCCACTCTAAACAGTTCATCAACATTAACTTTCTATCTACATGGAGCATAAGAAATCTCAAACTTGCATATGAAAGCTTCGATCTTTGTCATGAATACACTAGTATCTAACAGAACGCGGGAAATGATAAACTGAAACGAGCTCAAGCTTCAAACTTTCTTCGACATAGAAATGGATGAAGTTAATTGGAAATGAGGGTCCAACACAGATTATCTGCACTGTGCGAAGGCACGAATTGAGAACCAACAAACAATACCATGGAGCAGTCGCACCGTTGAGTGAAAATTATGAATTTGAAACAACGAAAGCAAACTAAACAGCTGGGAATGGAGCACAGAATTCGTACATGCAAGCAGGGGTTTCTAGCAACTCGTGGAAACTGTTGGCCGGAGCGATCGGTGGTGGTGGCGGCGGCGGCGGCGGCGGCGGCGAGAGGTGGGGGAAGGAGTACTTACTACTTAGTGGAGTGGGAGTGGGGTATGCGGATCATGTGACAATGTTTTGGGCTCTATTTGTTTGGGCCTAACGAGATTGACCCGCATGAGATTGGGCCAGCTCAGGTTGGGCAGGACAAATCGTGCAACATGATAAAAGGCCCAATAATCTTCATATTATCCCATGAGAGCAGCTGCATCGGCTGTCTTGCAGCCATTCCATTGATGATATGGCACTTCCATTTATCATTTCATGGTTGTAGAGGTTATTTCATAAAGTGACAGCTTCCACTTAATGGAAGTCTGAATGGAATAGCAAGTGGGGTAGATGTTGGTCCCTTTTTATGGTTTAGCCTCATCTCTTTATTTGTTATTTTTTTTTATTTTTAGATAAAATATAGAGTTGTATTAAAATCATCAATTGGGCCCACCATATGAAATAGAAAGTGTATGTCATTGATGTGGAGAGAATGAAATTGATATAAAGTGAAATGAGAAAAATTGTTGATGTGGCGATAGGGACCACATATGAAATAGAAATTGTATTTCATTGATGTGGATGGTCTGATGGATTCAATCAATCAACAAACTCAAAGATTGTAAGACATTACATTAGAACCGACATGATAAGTTATTTTATGGCATAAATACAATATTATACTGATTTGAACTCCAGTAATCGATTTCTCTGATCGGACCAATCACTGTTTTTATTTAATTTCCAGGCTGATTATCAGCATGAGTAGAACATGGATGACACATAAAACAAGCTACATGCCACACAATACTTTATTACATAAAAACAACAATCCAGAGTAGGAGTGTAAATGAACGACAGACATAATACTCAACAATTAACAATTATGACAGAACAAAAACTACTTGTATCACCAGGCACAGTAGTTGCTTATTAGGTGATTAAGGCCACGTAAACATGATTACTGAGGGGTAGGTAATTAACTCATTAAGCACAGCAGGCGCCAGGGTTGGCCAGGAGGTAGTCCTGCACAAGCTTGTAGACAGTCGTAGTCTGCTTCCCAATGGCATCAATCATTGCCTTGTCAGCAGCACCTCCCTTGGTATGATAATGATCGGTTGCTTTGACGACACATCCGTCACCGGCCGGCTCGATCTTTCTCTCGTTCACCACCGACTCGATGTTGTCGCTCAACGGACTGCCTTCAATCACCGTGTACTTGGCGTAGTAGTTGGCCGGATCCTGGGCCTCCACCTTGTGCTTCACAATCTTCACTTGGTTCCCTATACGAACATGTCATTTCAAAAAATACTCGTAAAGTTGAGAATTAATTCGAGTTATTGGAAATAGTGGGGGTTATGACATGGTATCACACAACATGTTTGTCCTTGAGATCATTTGTTCAAATCTTAGTAGGTCGAGTTACTGAGACCGGTTGATTTATGACATATGAGATCTGTATATGTTCATGCACGTACGTACGTACCTTCATCGGGGAAGCAGGTCTCGAGGATGCTACCGACGCCTCCATCGCCCTGGACGACCTTGCTCTTGTATTGAGGCATGATCTTGGGGAAGAGGGTTGGGGAGTCCTCGAGCAGTGCCTTGTACATTCTTGGTGCTGGGATTGAGGACTTGAACTCGTGGGTAGCCGTGGTCACGCCCATGTTTGATGTTCAAGAGTAGATTGGATAGGGAGCTAAGGTCTAGCTAGCAAGTGTAAGTTAGGTTTTTTTGGTTGGGGTTTGAGTGTGGAGATGAATGGCTTCTGGCCTTTGGCAATTTATAGAAAGAGGAGAAGTGGATATATCATATATATTGATGCAGATCGTGAGATCAGAGAGGGGTTGGGTTTTGTTGGGTAGCCCAAAAAAGTATCGATCGTGGATATGAGCTTCCAAACGCACACCATCTTTGAATCCCCTCAGTCTTCTTCTTGCGTTCTAGTCGGCGTGGTATGACCGAATGTGTCTGACTCACTGATCATCAGCTTTTTTTGATGATGTAAATGACAAACTTATTTGCGTTATATTGCATGCATGCGTGCCACCAAGCACCTTGCCTCCATCCCTTTGCTCACTTTCTTCAAACACTTTTTTTTTAAGAAACATCATGTGTTAAGAATGATGATTGGTTCTAATAACTCGATTTGTTGAGAAAGATTTAATTATAAAATCTTATATTATTTACAAATATCCTCTTTCAAACAAAAAGCTACTGATGTGTAGTGAATAGTGATGCCAATTTATGACTCGACTCGCGCGATTCAACTTTTTTTGGGTGAGAATTACCTGATTCGTAGAAGCGTGGGGCGGGACATAGGTATCGCTTCCAACCTGCCCCGCCTCGTCCTCGACCCATCATATCATGATTTAAATCAATATCTACATATATTTCTCGTCATTTAACATTTCCATAGTCATATATTCATCTCAATGAAATTTAAGACTCTATCTTTCAAGTTTCAACTATTTGGACTCAATTATTCTTTCAGCTAAATTTCTCATTTGTGGAGTATTTTCTCTGTCTTGTAAAATAGCTAAATATCAAAAAAATTCAAATGGCATATAAAATTGGGTAAACTCGTGCTCTATCTCGTATCCGTGCAGGTATTACCCGACCTAACTCGCTCGCACTTAGTACAAAGCGGGCATGGGTACGTACTGACCTACATGTTCCGACCCGCCCATTGTCATCACTACTCATCTGGACTAACACATATTCGAGTACCATGTACCTAACAAATAGGGATTTTCGAAATTCGAACACAGACAATAACTTTCATACTCACACCCATATCCACACAAGAGAATCTATACATAATATTATGGCAATTCAAAATTAAATTTTTGCCACATAAGCACTTGGAGAGATCTCAAGTTGCCAAGGTGGACAATTTGTTTACAAAAAAAATAGTTATTGACCTATTTATGGAGTTGTCCCTCTCTCTTCATTTGATATTTAATTCTCTTTTATTCAATAATTATTTTGTTTTTTTTTTGCTTTATATCTATAAATAATATATGGAGAGAAAGGTTATCAAACCGGTTTAGCAAGTGGAATGGTTTTACCAGTGGTACAACCGGTTTGTGTCGTTTCATGCCGGATAATAAAATATGTAGAAATATCAAAAAGTATTAATATCAAATGAATTTAATCATATATAAACCATATTTGAAGACAATTTACGTACAACTCATATTGATATTTGAATAAAATATGATATTTCAAATAAAATTGCATGTACTCATACTTAAATTCTCTAAAACTACGTAATTTACTAAAAAATTCATAAAACGATCATAACGGTCATACCGATGGTGTCATGTCGATTTCATGACCGGTACCGGTTGAATGGTTCAACCGGTGGCATGCCGGCTGACGTGACAATCATGATGGAGAGTGACATATATCACATTTTGGTCTTTCATTATATCGATTTACGCAACAGTATACTAATGTTCGTAGAGTGACATATATATCACACTTTTAAACCAAAAAATATATGATTAAAGATTACCATGTAAATTTATGCTCATTTTTACTAAAACTTAATAATAATTTACTTTTTAATGAATAATTTAAACAAACACACAAAAATAATAATATTTTTTCGATAAGGTCTGAAAGAAACTTGACCAAGAAATAATAGTTATTTATTAAAAAAACTTCTTATTCATTCTGATCAAGTGAAAACATATGAATCGCATGTGCAGTATTTATAATATATCCTAAGTTTACATTACTAATATTTTCTCTAGGTCATGTTGATTGAGCAATCTCTATTGAGGTCTTACATCTTATGCTAAGAAATTTTCTTTTCACACTTGGAGTTATTTATTGTTAAAGATTATATATTGAAGTTTCTAAAATGACTTGAGTATAATAGTTGATGAATTTTGACTTCATATTCTAGGATGAGACATGAGATGACTTGAAAAATGAAATTTGTGAAATTTAGAGAAATCTTTGTTAAGGATGTACGTTAAACATCACATTTCATGCTAAGAAAAATCTAAATTCGAAGATTGAGGTAATAAATAAACATTAATGTTTTACTTCACATATATAACAAAAAATATTTATAGTTACAATAGTGTAAACTGAGCTATTGGGTCAAAAGAAGAATATTTAATAAATATGAGTTTAGTAAGAAAATTGTAAGTTGTGAGTCTGTAATTTCATACCAAATTTTGGAAATAAAAAAAATTGATATCATATTCCACCCAAGGAGAAGAGTTCAAAGGTATTAATTAGCGTTGAAAGTAAAATAAACTCTCATATATATGTTTAGATATTAACAATAGATGTCATATATCATATATATGTTTAGATATCATATGGTTAGATATTAACAATATATATGTTTAGATATTAACAATAGATGTGTCTACTATACATCCAATAATTTAAATACACGTGAAAAGCCACAATGTTTGTATGAACTTTTAAATTTTGCTACAAAATATTTTGTTAAAAAATTATAAGTTAATTATTTTAGGAATATATAATTTTGAATGCACCTAAAATATTGGTCGGTCGTATACACACTTTACCAATTATTAATATAAGTAATGAAATTTTGTTCTAGAACAAACACCAAATATAAAGAAATTTTAGCGAATGGACATTCAAATAGTTGAAAAGTTATACATTGAAAGAACATGTTAAAATGAGAACCTTCGACAGTGTATATGAATCCTTGGATTCATATTTTTTTTAATCAATCCTTGGATTCAGATTCTAAACGAACATCTAGACAAAATGCATGGGTTGAGGGTTAGTACAAACTTAAAATTTTAGCAATTGTAATAAGTTGCTATACAAAGACTTCATGAACATCAACAATAAAAATGAGTGAGGTTTAGAGAATTTAATCATTTTAAGGGATACGATGTGTGTCAAATTTCAATTGGGATAAACATAATTTATCCAGTAATCAAGTATATTTTTCCAATAATTTGAACTCTGGTTAATTGGGTGAGAGTTCGTACAAACTCGAGAATCATGAATTGATATATGTTGTATAAGATAATAAATTTGAGAGTCTTGGTGGAAATTTTTTTATATACGATCCTAAATGGGACGTGATAAACCTTTACGACATGATTTATGATCAGAGAATAAAAACATCACAAGCGAGTGTGCTAACTATTAAATATTATTCGATATAGACATACCACATATTCACTTATGAAGCGAGAACATAAAATGTATACAAGATCCAAAAAGTTCAAAATATGTAGATAAGTTAACTAATATAAATAAAAATGAACTTTTCTGGCCAACTGGCCGGGTAGAAAACTTTTTTTTTTTTTTTTGATAATGGTGATAATTATTAAAACCAGCCCAAAGGCAAAAAGGAGAAAGTGTAAGTACAGCAAAACCAAAAATAACAATGGATCAAACAAGCTTGATCCCCAAGAAGGACGGAAAGAGAAGAAAAGAAAAGAGATTAAAAACCTGCCAGGGGGACCAGACCCCCTCCGCAGCCAAAAAAGAGAGAAAACAGAGCCCTGCCAACCCAGAGGCAGAGCCAGCGCCTGAAGCACCCAGGCCCCCAAGGCCCAACCGAAGCAAACCACAAACCAGCATCACCACCTATGGGCCATTCTGAAACCCAAAACACCCTAGCCATTCTAGTCGGAAGAATATATTATATGCCGTTTTCGGGTCGGACTGGGATTGTGTGTTCTCCTTCAAATTATATTTAGTATATATATATATATATATATATATATATATATGTATGCGGCAAAGTATTTCATCAGCTAGAATAATCGACTTGTACAGAAAATAACAACAACAACAATGGCGGCCAAACAATATATTTGCGCCATCGAGAGTCTGCAACTGGTCGCTTGCTTGAATCGGCACGAGGAATCCGTTGAGAAGCTGATGAGACAGAGCCCCAACCCCAAGAAGTTCGTCGGTGTGATGAGGCGCTACGTGGCACGATTCGGGCAGGACTACATAGAAAATCCGGCGGACTGTATCAGCGTTTTCCGCGGGTTTCGCGAGTTCGTGGAGCAGCAGCTCCTCTTCGGGACGATCGCCTTCGACCCTCTCCTCTACAGCTTCGCTCTCTATCCCCTCGCCGCCTTCGCCGCGCTCGCCCTGAGCGAGGCCTGCACCGTCCCGCTCTCCCGCATCACCATACTCTCTCAGGTTATTACCGATAATTCGAGTTGTTGGAAAAAGTGTATTGTGTTGGAGTTATTAACGTAACATATATCACCACTTGTACGGCTAAACCACATTAGGGTTTTTCGGTTTCAACGCGTATTATATATCTCTTATCGTAAACTATATATTGTCGTATTGAGGTTTGTTATAATGATTTGAAACCCATGACCGCTCGATTTTGAAGTCTCTCACAATATGTGAACGATAAATCAACTTTAGTTCTCATAATTCGAGTTGTTGGAAAAGAGTTTGTATTGTATGAGTTTTTTTTTTTTATCACTTACGTTACATCTGCCCCCAAATGAAAGTTAATTTCTGGGAAATTTTTCAGTTTGTGCATGTTGAACATATATCATGCTGCTCTGTGCTAAATCATTGTTTTATATTAGGGTTTGTCATGACGATTCGAAGCCATGATCTCTCGATCGAAGACTCTTTGATATCATGTGAACCAACAAATCGCTTAGTCTTAATAACCCGCGAGTTGTTGATAAAAAAAAAAGTTTGTGTGAGTTTTTATCGATCTCTTACCCACCGACCGATTGGAATGCTTGCAGGTGGAAGGAGGAGCACCGGCCGGCGACAGGAGGAGGATGAACATATTGCAGCAGGCTGTTCGGATCGTCGAAGAACAGGGTGGTAGTGATGCTTCTGGGTGCAAAGGGCTTTGGAGGGGCAGCAAAGTTTTTGTTGCTCATCGGCTGGCTTTTTACGGAATCCACTTGTCCGCCTATATGAATTTCAAGGCTCTACTACAGGTAATCAATATGCATTACGACGTCAAATGCTGTATAGTAAGTTGAATCAGATTGATGACGCGCATTTTAGTACACGATATAATGATCTGTGACTGAAATTTCGCAACAACTTGAGTTATTGGAATATATCAGTTTCGACACTATATGCTTGATTCGAATCTTAATGGCAGGGGAGTGGGCGGCTGAATCCAGTCGGGGTGGCTTTTATCGGCGGAGGATTGGCAGCACTAACTGCTTCCTCGGTTTTGTATCCGTTGGATACTGTTAAAACACACATTGCCCTTCAGGTATGTTCATTCATTCACATAAAGTACAGACTTTGCCCTAGTTTTGGTGGCTTCTAGCATATCCAGGGTAAATCTAGTAAGAAAATGATATCTAAATTTTGAATTATTCGGATTTTGAGGTATTATACTATACTCTAATTCTTAATGAGTGAGTTCGATGGGCTCATTATGTAAATCACAAATTCCCAAATACTCGACGAATCATAACCAGTACTACTTCTAAATCAATTGATTTTAGCGTATAAGGTTTAGAAAACTAACAGCTATATTTTAATCATTAGTGATTAGAGTATAGTATCATATTACTACTCGTTTCGCATGTACGTAACGTAACGCGTAATTTGGTGGCCATATCTAGACGAGCAAAGAGTACAGGGGAGCATGGGGTGCTTATCGCAACATGATATGCAAAGATGGCGGCCACAGATCTCTCTATGCTGGACTGTCGGCATCATTATTGGTTAGTAGACAGTACTGCTTCGATCCAGCTAGCATTTTAGTAATATTTTGAGTGTTCAAATCATATCGATCTCTACGCTGCGTTTTGTTCCAGCGCGTTGTCCCATCCATGGCAGTAAGCCTTTCAGTCTACGAACTTCTCTCAATGCTTTGGGATGATCTAAGGTACACAGATTGATATGGAACATTGTTTCTCTTTTTGAGATCGATCATGTTTGTGCTCGTTAATGAATAATGCATCCTATCTATCGTTAATTATAATTAGTAAATACTTCGTTTAATACGCGCGTATCTTGACTTTCAGACCAGGGGATTCTCTGTTCACGACCACACTCGTTTGCGGGAGCATCGCAGGCCTTGCTGCCTCACTAGGTAAGTAACAAAGAGTGCATGCAGACTGGGCTTTTCTGCTAATTGGTACACACGACTTGTTCGCTAGTGGTGTCTATCATCATCATCATCCAACTTATCGTCTCTCTCTGTGACTGGTATTTGCAGCAACGTATCCACTTGATGTTGTGCAAAGAAGATTGCAAACGGCTGCTGCTGGGTCGGGAGGTTCGGGTTTAGTCGCGGTAGGACGGATGTTTCGAGAAATAGTCCGGGAGGAAGGCGTCGGAGGATTGTACAGAGGCGTCCAAGCTCATTGTTTGAAGACCGTTCTCGATCATGTGGTTGCCTATACGACTTACGAGATGGCTAAGGTGTCCAGCGACTTTATGCGCCTTGTTAGGATAGTAGATTATTAGAGTATGACATGGTCCACCTATTGGGTAAATTTTAGTATTTTAAGTTTACTTTTCTCAAAGTCGATCTTTTTTTTTATCATGTTGCAAACAGGAACCATCCCCTCTCCCGAGATATGTGACAATGTTTTCGGCCCCATCTGTTTGGGCCTAATGATGAGAATGAGCCACATTAGATTGGGCTAGCTCAGATCGGGCTGGGCAGGACTAATCGTATCCTATCTATATATCCAAAAAATCAATGAGTGTGTACGTAGGTTGGTTTCCCAACCACATATACACTTGGAAGGTTTCTATACACTTTGGTGGCATGCATGCAATAGCGACAGCGGCGGATACAGGGGGGGCCAGACTGGGCCCGGGCCCAGCCCCCCTGCCTCCCCAATACCCAGCCCAGCCGGCAATTTACATGGTAAAAATTTGGGCCCAGCCCAGCCTCAAGACCCAGCCCCAGGCGGCCATCCCTGCAGCCCAAACAACACAAAATAAAAATCTCCCGCCCCTATTCCTATTGGCTTTCCCTGCAAGTCTGGAAGACTGGAACAAAAAAAAAAAAGAAAAGAAAGAAGACGAACATACTGCTCCGCTGCCGCTGATCTCTGCTCCCCAGTCCGGCAGTCCCCACCTCCCGGAGCTGTCACCCTGAGTCCCTGACCCGGCGGCCGGCGCCGGAGACCCCTTGGCTGTCATCTTGGCCGTATCATCCCCAGTCCGGCAGTCCCCACCCCCTCGTTCTTTCTCCGCAGACCGCAGCGGCTATAATGGAGTCTCTCCTCTGTTTGTGAATTGTGATTCTCTTATCTCATCTCTGAATTGTGATCTGTCTATTATTGCAAAGAAAGTGCGTAGAGAGGGGCAGAGAGGGACAACATCAACAGGTAATTCCAATTTGCCAATTGATCTTATTGTCTTAGTTTAGTTAGTCTTATTTCCTTAAAAACTAAGTTTGTACAGTGCAATTATTCATTAAGCCATTAACATAGAATTTAATATTAGGATTTCTCATATATCTTACTCGGTAGAATTTGTATCCAAATTTACTTAGAATCTAGTGTTTGACTGCGGTGTGTACATGTATAATTGACGATTTGCGCAACAAGATGGGCGATGAATTTCTTGCTGATTGCTTAACTATTTTCTTTGAGAGAGAGTATGTTATTGGTATGGATGAAGACTCAATTATTGACGAATTTGCTAAATTAAAAGACCGTCGTGTACAATTGACATTGTAATGCAAACTATAATTTTTTTTTGTTACGGTATCTAATTTTATGTTCGAATCCGGCCCAGTGCACTTTTATATCCTGGATCCGCCGCTGAATAGCGAAGGTGTAAAATGAAAAAAACGGAGAGAGTTAGCCAGCTAGTATATACGTATACAAGAGCTTGTCCTTTCCACCAAAAATAAGCTGAGTCAAGACATTGCCACGTACCTGACTTCATCTTGAAGGTTTGACATTAACGCAATGTGAACCGAAAGAATGGCATTGTTGTAAACTTTGTCCAGATCGTCCAACTCGTCACACTAAATAATAATAATAACATTATATTGGGATCTAGATGCAAGAAGAAGGTTGCGAGGATTCAAACATGGAGTGCGCTCACGGTCATAGACTTTTCTGGGCTACCAAACAAATGAAACCCATCTCATCTCATGAACATCTGCATCAATATCCACCTTTCCCTCTCCTATAAATTGCCAAGGCCAGAAGCCATTTATCTCCACACTCAAACCCCCAAGCAAAAACCTACTTACTAACATTTGCTAGAGCTAGCTTCCCTAATCAACTACTATCTTCTTTCTCTCGTCAACATCAAACATGGGCGTGACCACGGCTACCCACGAGTTCAAGTCCTCAATCCCAGCACCTAGAATGTTCAAGGCACTGGTCCAGGACTCTGCAAATTTCTTCCCCAAGATCATGCCTCAATTCAAGAGCGAGGTTGTCCAGGGCGACGGAGGCGTCGGCAGCATCCTCAAGACCTGCTACCCTGAGGAAGGTACTTATGATTAGAGTATGAGACCTTACACTACGCGAGTATTATTATATAATTTGACAGAATTATGATATGCGTCGACGTTGCACATATAGGGACCCAAGTGAAGACTGTGAAGCACAAGGTGGAGGCCAAGGATCCGGCCAGCTACTACGCCAAGTACACGGTGATCGAAGGAGGTCCGTTGAGCGACAACGTTGAGTCGGTGGTGAATGAGGTGAAGATCGAGCCGGCTGGTGATGGAAGCATCGTCAGAGCAACCAATCATTATCATACCAAGGGAGGTGCTGCTGACAAGGCAATGATTGATGCCATTGGGGAGAAGACTTTGTCTATGTACAAGCTTGTGCAGGACTACCTCCTGGCCAACCCTGGTGTTTGTGTTTGAGTTAATTACGTAGCTGCCACTAATCATGTGTACGCGATCTTAATCACATAATATTAAGCAATTACTTGTCTGTGAGGCATATAGTTTTTGTTCTGTATTAATTGTTGAGTACGGTGTCTTTCGTGAAGTTATACTCTTGTTGTGGTTGTTGTTTTTATGTAATAAAGTATTGGTGGCATGTACCTTATTTCATGTGTCTTCCATGTACTACTACTAATTATGTTATGCTTTGCAACAACAAAGTCCTCGATCTTTGTTGTTTCTTGAGTTGCCATCAAAACCAATCTAGTTGATCAAATGTGAATTTATAATACCAATAACATCCCAACTTAATCTTAAATCTTTTTGCAGTTCTTGCATTAGGTTGGATGTTACACTTCAATTTAATTAGTAGTATATACATGTCGCAACTTTTTGTGCTAGAAAGTATTAGTATTATAGATTATCATTACATACGAACATTTTTACACAAAATACATGAAACTTATAAATCACAAATTCTCAAATCATCAGAAGATGCATGTGTAAATCACAAATTCTAATCCTTAACTAATGAGTGAGTTCGATAGGCTCATTATGTAAATCACAAATTCTCAAATCATCAGAAGATGCATATGTAGTTTGTTGCATGTATTTCGACGAATCATAACCACTACTTCTAAATCAATTGATTTTAGCGTATAAGGTTTAGAAAACTAACATCTATATTTTAATCATTAGTGATTAGAGTATAGTATCATAGTACTACTCGTTTCTTCGGGGTATGTAACGCATGTACGTAACGTAACGCGTAATTTGGTGGCCAATGACTATATCTAGATGAGCAAAGAGTGCAGGGGAGCATAGGGTACTTATCGCAACATGATATGCAAAGATGGCGGCCACAGATCTCTCTATGCTGGACTATCGGCATCATTATTGGTTAGTAGACAGTACTGCTTCGACCTAACTAGCATTTTAGTAATATTTTGAGTGTTCAAATCATATCTCTACGCTGCGTTTTGTTCCAGCCCGTTGTCCCATCCATGGCAGTAAGCCTTTCAGTCTACGAACTTCTCTCAATGCTTTGGGATGATCTAAGGTACACAGATAGATATGGAAAATTGTTTCTCTTTTTTAGATCGATCATGTTTGTGCTCATTAATGAATAATGCATCCTATCTATCCTTAATTATAATTAGTAAATACTTCGTTTAATATGCGCGTATCTTGACTTTCAGGCCAGAGGATTCTCTGTTCACGACCACACTCGTTTGCGGGAGCATCGCAGGCCTTGCTGCCTCACTAGGTAAGGAACAAAGACTGCAGACTGGGCTATCTGCTAATTGGTACACACGACTGGTTCGCTAGTGGTGTCTGTCATCACCATCATCCAACTTATCGTCTCTCTCTGT